GCATAGAGGAACATAGACATAATGTTCATAATGCACGAGAATATAATTTATTTTCGAGCTTTTATTAAAATTTTGTTTATTGTTTGTTTTACAATTTTGTTAATTTTATAAAATATATGTAATTATTCTACACATACCTATGTATGTATGTATGTACAGGGTATTTCAAAGTATTATCCACGGCTTCGGTACTTGTATAACCGCTTTCATCAAGAACAATGCGAAAGCTTTTGCGAATTTCTTTCACTCTGAGACTGAATCGCAATGACGAGTATTTACATATGCACATATGTATGTATGTATGTATGTACGTATCTGAGTTTCTATAGAATCGGATGTTTTGTATAACCCGTGCGGGTAAGTGACTCGCTATCTTCGACGATGTTCATGTCTTTAATTTTGCAGTGCGTTTCGGCGCATCGCCCACTCCCAACTATTTATTTTATTTACATACCATACAAAAGCATCTTTGCTTTTTTCATTCATGCAATTACTTTTAAATTGTACCGGCGTTTTTGGCGCCTCCTTGTTGTTTTTATTGCTCTTTGGCCTTTGCTCCGAGTGCCTGCTCTTTGTTATACTTCAAGGATTATTGGCATGGGCGTATGTGTGGGGGAGCAGACTGACGGTCGGACGTAGAGACAGGTGGGGAGGGCGAAATGTCTGGCGTGTCTGCTGCTCTTCGCTTTCGCACTGCCTTTTCCTTGTTGTGCGTTGGCACTTGTTTGTTGTATTGTATTGTTTTAAAAATAAAATTGATAAGGTGTTTGTTTTTATGGCCGCTCAGCAGCCGCATCTTTGTTGCTGAAGCGAGGACAAGTGGCACGTGGCATGGAGAGTACTTGGTGGCAAGTGCTCTTTAAACGCCGCCAAAAAGAACGCCATTTTAAATTTGTTTCGCCTTTTTATTAATCTCTTCAAATGCGCAGCTCTGCCTACTTCAGCATCCTCGCATCCTCTCCACTGCCAATACCACGCTACGCCAGACCACCCCTACACATACCCATCAAGCATTGTCCACGGCCATGGAATTGTGCAATGCACGCACATTCGTGGGCATAAAAATAAATAAATAAAATACAAAATACGGAAAGAAAAAACGTCTACATGAGGCGCATATTTAATTTGCCATCCTCAAACCGGAACCCAACCCCCGAACCCACAATCACGGGCAAATAACGAAAGGATTTCCATTCCTTGCTTCGCAATGGCTTTTATTTCATTTTATTTTGTTGTTTTTTCTTAAAATTTTATTTTTTTATAAATGTTCACACACACATTCACGCACGCATCTACTTTATTTTTATTCCTTTTCATTATTAATCGCATGTTTACACACCAAAATGGCAAAGTGTGTGTAGTATGTATGTATGTATGTATGTGTGTACGTGTATGTATGTGTGTGAGGGTGTTTGTGTGCGTGTTACAGCTGCCTGACTGCCACATTCTTGAAATTTTCAAGCACGCTAGGAAGCTTTGGGGCGTGGCCGGGGGTTGCTCAGAGCCCCAACGGCATTGCAAAACTTTTGACGATAATGAAGTGCTTTTCGAGGCGATCATAAATCACATTAATTGCGCGCTAGTCGCTCGCTAGGTGGCGCTCTAGCCCCCGTGTTAAATATGCTCCTGGCAGTTAAAGTCTATGGCCCAAAATGGTCGACGTTCCCGGCAATGAAGCCCAGTCATTAACACGCTCACGAGCCACACACACAAACATACAAACGTACGCACAGATGTGGCAAATCGTAAGCATTGCAAATGAAATCAGCCACAACAACAAAAGCAAGCCAGCCAAAGGATAGCAAAAACGCTAAGAGCGCTTGGCATCAAAGTTTAATTAAAAATTTGCTTTCACAAAGTTGTTAAAATGTAATTTAAAATTGACTTAAAAACAAGCAGCAACACAAATTGAACGCAAAAAATACCAAATAGGAAAAACGAAAGAAAAAACCATACAAAAGGGATAGAGGGAATTGCAACGGGCGACAAATGTCAGCGACAAGCTGAGCGCCCTCAGCCAGCCGCAAAATCTGCGGGCAACAAGCGGACCGAAGCACTACACACACATACAGATACAGATACACACACACACACACACACTTACATAGATGACATGTATTGTCATGTGCCACGCCCACGCGCCGAGCTGATAAAGTTCAAAAGTGAATGCTTTTTAGTTACACAAATTGCCAAACAAACAAAATCGCAAACACAAAAAAAAAAAACAAACACACACACATCAGCCAACACATAGACACATGCAACCACTGCAACCAAAACTAGATGCCACCGCATACAAACAAACAAACTTCCCCCGCCAATGAAGCAACCATCCACCCAACCAGTCAACCCGCCAGCCCGCCAACCGAGCAAACGAGCGACCTGCCCACACGGCACGGTTAAAACTAAATGCTCCTCCGTACCGCTCTTCCCCGCCCTGGCACTGAAAAATAGCCATAGAGACACACACGAAAAACGTTTGCAACAACACCAACAAAATAATAATAAAATAAATAGAAATAGAAATAAAAAGCGAGATCGTGTAAGTGTGCAAAAATATAACTGCTTTTAGTTTCCGTTTCCGCTTTAATGTATCGCGCAGTGGTCGCCATGGTCGACTGCTGAACATTTTTTTGCACTCACATATACATACATACTTGTATCTATGTATGTATGTATGTTTGCACATAAGTAGTTCTTTAGGAGGTCTGATTAAGGAATCATCACGGCAGCCATATTGTTCTTGCAGAAGAAGATATAACCTGTACACTGCAGGAAACAATCTAACTTCGACTAACTAAATAGTAAGCACTTCTAAAATGTCCGATCGTTCCCATAGCAACAAAATTGCAAATTTCAAGCATATGTTGTAACATCGACAATAGTTAGCCCCTAACAAATTTAGTTTGGTTCAGATAGACTCAAAAACAGACCAGTTATTGCAAAAAATACTAACTCACAGGATTCGTTGCGTTCCATTTTGAAAAAATATCTAGTTGTACGAATATTGGACAGCATTTCAGTCTAATAATTTTTGAGCAAAGAGTAGTTGGTGTAGTAACAATAAAACTAGCTGTTAATTATTTATTTTTTTTTTTAAAATGGCAAAAATAATATATTTAAATATATTATGTTCTTTTTGATATTTTGATAATCCATTCGATGTACTGTTGGGCTATTTATTTATTTATTGATTTATTTGAGATATTTTGTAGTACAAGTACATAATTATACTTATTACTTAATTCTTTATTTAAAATTAAACACTCTTGAGTTAAAAATAACTAAAAATATAGTTATAGTTTTAGAAACTTCACAAAAAATTAGTAAATCGTTCCTAAGTATGTTCAAAATGGTTACACAGAATAGTTAATAATAAAAACATTATAAGGGGATCAGAAATTTTTCCTCAGCTAGAGAGTCTTAAATTGTAACCGTGTGTGGTAAAGGCTGTATTTGAAATCTGTTGAAAGTGCATCTGTTTTTGGTCATTCGTGGGCTTCTTATTTATCCTGGAAATAACTACACGAGGATTTTTGTAGTGAGCATTGGGATGGTGCAGTGTATGCGCGGAAAATAAAATCCGCTTGAAAGTCCGGGTCAATTATATGGATATCTGAACTGTTAGTGGGTGGGCGCTGCATGTTCGCGCATTTGCTGATGCGGCTACTGATGCACAGCTTATTGTTGTTGCTGTTGTTACTGGTATTGCTACTGCTACTGCTACTGCTGCCATTTGCTTTGGCCGCAACATTTTTGCTATTTGAGCACGACATTTGACCCTGCGGCCAACTCCAACTCCAACTCCCGCCCCTGCAACTCATCCGAATCACGCTTCGCGCCTCCTTGCCACACATACAGACACACACACACATATGCACATAGGTATTTACAGACATACATATTTTTAATGTTATTTGTTTGGCATTTTAGATTTGGGTCTTCTGCGCACGGGTATATATGTAAATATACATACATGCATGCGCGTATGTATGTGTGTGCGATGTATGCCGGGGAGGGATGGGGTGGGTTGGTGTGGGGAGGGGAGGGAAGGGAAATGCAAACTAACCTCACAGCAAACCAAATGTAATACCGACATTAGTTTAATTGCGTTAGCCTTTGTTTTGGAGCAAAAAATATTAGAGGGATCATGAGGTAGAAGCACATACCCACACAAACATGCAGATTGAGAGCCGCACAAACACACACGGCTGCAATGGTAACGGAAGTGTAGAGCGAACCGGAACCACATTTCATAATCGCATACAAGTGTGTGTGTGTTTATGTTTACGAGTGTGTTGCAGTTGTTACTAAATTTGTTTGTTGGTTCAGCTAAGTAGTTTTCACACTCTTACCAAAGGGCTATTTGGGGAATGTTTGGCTTGCTGCTGCATTTGAAACACAAACTAGTACCTACATACATACATACATACATAAGTATGTGTGAGTGTGCAGATACCAATCTGGAAGAATTCCATTACATACACGTTATAGTTAAAAGAATACTTAGGCCATCTACCCCAGGACCTTCCGATGTCATTCAAACTCGCTATTGTATGTATTTGTTGAAATCAATGTAAAATTTGCAAAATCTAGCAACAAGCTGCTGTTGCGGCCTTTCATGTCGCTATTTAGTGTTATAATAATAATAATAATAATAATAATAATAATTTAAATAAATTCCAAAATACCTTTTGAATTAAAACTTCATACTTCACGGTTTTGTCTGCTTCTTCAAAATTTCATTGAAAAATGTTAAACATCGATGAAATCGATTTCCAACCACGAAGTTTCAATTCTATCGCGTGTCAGCCTGACACACAACTTTTTTTTCTTCTGATATGACATTGCAATTCATGCTTAAAGTCTGCCAACTTGCAGGCACCCATTTTTGTCGGTGACAGAACTGTCAACTTAATTATTTTAATTTGAGTCTATGACAGATACATTTTTCACTTCAGTCATTTGTGAAAATCTATGCAAGGCAGCGATTGCAAAAAATGGCCAAAGAAAGTCAAATGGAAAAACCAAAACCGTTCAATAAAGAGAAGAAGCACAAGCAGAAGTGTAAGAAGCACCAGCACAAGCCCAAGCATGTGATCAAGGAACTGGGAAATAACCTTAATAGCCAAGTGCCAGATCACGAGAAACAAAGTGTAAGGGTGGCGATTAGAAAGGATGGTAAGCTGAAGCAACATATTGAGCGCGACGAGCTGCAGGGTCAGCAAAAAACCTGCGAGCTAGAAGGTTTGCAGAATATCCAACAGAAAAAGTCCAAGGGGTTAGAGCTCGCGCGAAAAATGCAAAAGCTCGAGCGCCAGCAAAAAGGCAAAAGCCAGGATAAGGCACGCTCGCAGGAAGAGTGCGAACAAAGCAGCGGATATATAGAACAACAGCAAATAGATGAGACGAACGAGTGCCAGCAACGAGCCAGGGCTCAAGAGCAGAAGGATAAAGGGGAGAAAAAGAAGCACAAGCACAAAAACAAGGGCGTAGAGCGTGATCAAAAAACCATTGAGCACAAGCATCACCAAAATGCCGAAGGCGAAGAGCTTCAACAAGGAGAGAAGGAGCAAGAGCAACAGCGGAATGACGAAGAGATCCCCCAGCAGCCAAACTGTAAAAAGTTCAAAGCACAGGAGTCGGAATTCGAGCAGATATCCAAGCAGGAATTGGAGCAACGTCCCAAAGCCGACGAACCAAATTGCTTTCTAGAATCCCAGGTTGCAGAGTTGCAAGATGGAATCCAGAAGCTAAGTATTTTAGATTGCCAGCAATTGGCACACCAGATATATTACATCCCAAGTCCCACAGAGCAAAATAATATTATGCTGGACTTCGGCAACCGGCAGAAGGTCGAAATAGTTTTTCGCAAAAGGGAAATCATCGAGCCTACACGCCTGCAGAAATCCCAGGAGTTGGTCGGCGTTCACAAATCCATAGAGCGCCAGGAAAAGTCTAAGCAACAAGATTTGGAACGCCAGCAAAAATTCCCGGCGGTGCAAATGCTGCAGAACCAATACGAACTAGCCTGTCTTCAAAAAGCCCAAGAAATAGAGCCCAAAAAAACAGCCATAAAAAGTAAACCATCTGTAGATGTACAAGAGAAGCAAAAAGTACAGCCGTTTTATCAAAACCAGGAGTTGGAATGCTTACAAAGGGCCATGGAGATAGCGCGCCAACATAACGTCAAAGGTGCTCCGGCATCGGGCGTGGACGTGAAAGATGAGCTAAAATCGCAGCCACAAGCCCAGGTGGTTGAGCTACAGCAAAAATCCCATGATTTGGAGGGCCAGCAAAGGGTTATGGTTGCTGAGTGTCAGTACAAGACTCAGGAACTAGCGTGCTTGCAGCGAGCCATGGAGATAGAGCTCCAGCATAAGCCCCCGGAGGCAGAGCAGCAACCAGTGGTCTTGAAAGTTAAGCAGAAGCTACAGCAAAAAGACCCAAAGGACGAAGAGCGCCAGCAACTAGAGTGCTTGGCAAGAGCCATGGAGATAGAGCGCCAGCATAAAGTCCAATATGTGGAGCGCAAGCCAATGCTCATTAAAAAAAAAAATGATCCAGAACACAAAGAGAAGAAGGGCATACAAAACGCCCCGAAAACGCCGGTAGTGGGCATGCCAAAATCCGAAATCGTTGGGTGCAATTATAAAGCTGGGGAGATTATGTACTTACAACAACTCGAGGCCATTAACCAGCAAAATGTACAGAATTATTCGATTCAGCAGAATGCGTATCTGCGCGAATCTCAGCAGATGGCCCAACAGCGCCCACAAAGTGCTCAGGAGATAGAGCACCGGCAGCAAAGGGCCGTTGAAGTAAGCCACCAGCAAAGAGCCCAGGTAGTAGATCGCCCGCCAATGGGTATGCAGGTGCAATGCGAAGCAAAACGAAAAACGAAGAAAAATGATAAGCAAGAGCATAAAATCAAAGCATTTGAACGCCAGAAAAAGTCCCATGAGCTACAGCTAGAGCATGAGGTAGAGCGCCAGCAAAAACACCAGCAGGGAGCCCTTGAGTGGGATCGTCAGCAAAGGACTAAGCACGTAAAGTATGAGCGTAAAGCCCTAGAACTTCATCCCCAGCAAATACAGAAAGGAGAAGAGGGCTTGCAGAAAGTCAAGGGAGAAGAACGGCAGGAGCAAAAGTTATTGAAGAAAAAAACTAAAGAACTGAATCGGCAAAGGGCCAAGGAAATCAAGCGTTCTCAAAGAGGTGGGGAGATTGAGACCGAGGTTAAGGCCCAGGAACTAAAGGCCGCACAAAGAGCGACAGAAGTAGAGCTTCAGCGAAAATGTTGGGAGAAAGAACGACAGCAAAAAGCCAAAGAGCAAGAAGGCCTACGAAGTGTCGCAGAGTCTGAGCATCAGCAGCAAAACAATAATTTGCAAAAATACTCGGATCTATCTCAAAAGTTTAAGGCCATGGAGCCCAAAAACTCAGAGAGGTCTCAAAATAAGGCCATCAAATTAGAGATAAAAAAACAAGAGAAGCAAGACGTAAAAAATTATATAAAACGAGAGAAAAAGCACACAGACCAGGAGCGGAAACACAAGCCCAAGAATAAAAACCAAGCACAGGTGCCCAGTGAGGACGAAGAGTTTGACGAAAAGAGAGCTCATAGAGTCATCAATATAAGTGGGTTGAGGAACGCCCGCAAAGGATGGATTGTCAAACTCCCCAAATATGTAATCGAACGCTGGAATAAGTTGCCTTTGGGTTCTGAAGTAGGAACAGTACGAATTGTGCGACCCCCAACAAATCGAGCCGATACTTCGCCAGCCGTGCTGCTTAAAATGTCTGAGGCAGCGTTGAATGCAGACATTTTTAATCCCATACCCTCGATGCATGTCCTAGAAAATATTCCTGCTCAACAACATAATGCAGCGGTCTATGGGGAGCGCTCGAATGGTAAGTTTGGGATTCGAGCTCGTGTTGTAAACCGCCTAGACGGGCGCCCAGCCGAAGTGGATCAGGTTTATCTGGACATGAAAAAACGCGAAAGGCTTCAATTAGAAGCCAACCAACGTACGATTGGAATTCTCGATGTCCTACCACCGAGGTTTCTGCCGGTCTCAGATCATCCGGAGAACGTAAGTGATTTTTTATATTTTGTATTCCCTTATATTTATTTAAGGACTGCCCAAATCCGATTCGGATATTTTCTTAATAATCTGGCTTATTAACATTCGATATCGATAGATCGAGCACCGGAAGAAAAAGAAGGCCGCTGGGAAGCGTGTTCGCAGCAATAAGACTGTCGTCATGGACATGCTATTTGATGCCTTTGAGAAACACCAGTATTATAAGCTCAATGACCTTGTCAATTTAACCAATCAACCTGTCAATTACTTGAAGAGCATTCTCAGAGAGTACTGCACCTTCAACACCAAGGATCCGCACAAATATATGTGGGAGCTAAAGACAGAGTACAGACGCTATTTAGAAGAGGATAATGAAAAGAGCAAAAACAGAAGTAAAGCTAAGAAGGAATTACCGCAATCAATGCGCACATCCCTTCATGGGAAGACAACCAAGTCTGTATCCGAGTCTGATGATGATGGTGAATTCGAGTCAGTGGGATCCTCAAATGAGGGTGGCTCTTCCGATAAAGAGACATCCAAGCCCAACAGTCAAATACCGGACATGTGGCTAGACCCAGAAAAACTTGAAGAGGTCAAGCAGGAACGTGTGCGCCGCAAGGCAAATAGGGCCAAAGAGCGCGAATATGCTGAAAGGAAACGCAAGTTTCTGAAAGCTATGGAGGATGCTCAAGATCGCAATCGCAAGGATGTGAAGCAGAAGAAGAAGCCAGAAAAACAGACTAAGTCTAAGGGTCAGCAAATACTCGAGATGATGCGAGGACTAGAAGAGAAGAAACGCAAAGAAATGGAGGAGCGCAAGAATGTTCAGTACAAGAATTGGAGCGACGACTCCGATTAGGATGAGCCCCCAGCAAAGCAATAAACATATACACCAAACACGGTATTCAAATATTAACCATAAACATACACAATTACTCTCAACTTTTTGGTTACACAGTTGCAGACACACAGGAGCATTCTGCGGGTCAGCAAATATTGAAAATGACATGCAGAAGGAAAGACGAGGTTCCCAAGGTGTTCAGCACATGAACTGCAGCGATGATTCAGTCAAGAATGGGCACAATACGGGGTCTTCAAATATTGACACTTAACATCACACACATAGACAAAGAGAAAGGTTGACCACAACGCGACAACACTTTGACGAGATATTTATGTGTTTTCGAAATGAAGCGCTCGAGTAAAAAATAACTAACTAATAATCAAAATAAAATGAAGACAAGCCGAGGCGCAGCTCGTCCAAGAACCTCTTTCTTTGGTATAGAGTAGCGGGCCGTGTGGGCGTTCTGGGACGGCTGCGTGTGTGCCTCTTAAAATATTCATGTGCCACTGATGCTGAGAAGCGGACAACCGTTGGGCAACACAACTACTTACCATGTACCATTTTACATGTGTTTGGAACGTGTTTTAATTAGTTTTACCGTGTTCATCAACTGGCGCCCCAGCAGCGTAGACACAGACACAGGCACAGGCACAGACGCAGACGTTGTTGGGAACAAGTTGTAAATTATGACGCCACCATCTCAGCTGTCGCCCAAATAATGAACATCACAAATCAACAGCTCGTCATTAGCACAATGCCTGGACATGAGTGTATGGCGTATGGTTTATCGTATATGGTGTTTGCTGTATAGTATATCCTTTATGGAGGGAGGGTTGAGGGGATGAGGTGGAATTGGGCATATGTGTGGCGGTACGGAGTGTCTGCATAATTTTTCAGCTCACTGAAGCAGATTGTTGCCCTGGTTATGCCAACGTGTGAAACTCATACCCGCAAATAATTACGCCATCTTCTCCTGTTAGCATTAATTATCCAATGAGTTGGGAGAGACTTTGAGCGTCTCTCTGTCTGATCGTTGTTGTAAATTTAAATAGAAGCTAAAATTGTAAAACATAGTACTAAATGCATTATGGCAATTGTATCTAACGTATTTCATAAAGTTGCTCAGCAACTTAAGTACAATATTTATTGTTATTGTTGAAAGATTTTCGAATTCTTCTCGTTAAAGCAAGCAAAATTTGAAAAATATGTTCCCGTATATTAAAATATCTTGATGTACTTATTTTGTTTTGTGCAACTGATACTATTTTTAAAGAGTATCTCAAATCACTTTTTAGCTCTTTCATTTGCTTAAAATATTAGTCTAGGTAAGATACCATGTTATTTTATTTAAAAAAAGATTCAATTTTTTCTGTTACTTTTTTCTTAATTAGCCAAAAATTTTTTCTAAGCTTCTTCTCTCCACTAATTTTGTTATTGGTAGATCTATTGAGTCGGATGTGAGTCGGGGTGGAGGCGTTTATTAGATATTATTGTAATTTGACTAGATTTCTCCTACTTAGTCTTTCTTTTCTTTTAAGGTTCTTCTTATAATTTTTATGTATTGTTTTCCTATGTGAGCAGTCATTAATTGTTGACATACCTATAAATAAATAATTAGAATAAATAAATAATTACAAATATAAATAATCTTATAGCTAGAGTCTTCCAGAACTCTCTATCCACTTCAGAAAGAAGAAGAAATGAGAAACGTTTTGAATTTAAATTAATTAAATGCACATAGTTAAGCAAATAATGTATGTTAAACCACATTGTACATATGTATGTTCATCCACCTTTAATGCTTTTGTGTGCAGCAGCAACGAGTGCTGGCAGAATTTGGCTACAAAATTCACATATTTATAGTAACTCAAACTGAACAAGTACAAGTATACTATTTTTAACCGATTTCAAAAAAGAGGAGGTTATCAATTCGTCTGTATTTTTTTATTTTTTTTATTTTTATTATTTTTATTTTTTTTATTCTGTGGTTACGGGGGACTCGTTAATGCCTGTCTACCTAATTAAAACGTTGTGGCGCCAATTGTGTTAACTTACAAATATAAAATATACAAGTAGTTCAAACGTTAAGTTCGCTCCCCCTGTCTCTTTTCTACAGTACTGAGGAGAGATGCACATGTCTATCGATTCGTCTCGCCCATAGTCCAATAACATAAAGTTTGGCACACCTCCTTCTACCTGTTATATGAGCTTGCTTAGACGTTCCAGTGATGCCCTTCACCCATTGGGTAAAAGGCTTCAAAACCTCTAGCTAGAAAAATAAAATGACGTCTGCCGGCATACGTGTTTATTCAAATGGTTTCAGTAATCTTTAACAGAGATTACCTCAAACTAGTTATAATCAAGGCATACATACATACGAGTACATGCTTCAAATGCATGTGCTTAAAAATTTGCTGTTTGTATCAGTTTAATTTCCTGGAATCTAAGTGTTACGGGCATCAGTTGACATCAAGTGAGGGGCAAACGGGCGATTCCTGATGACGGCCAGACAGAGAAGACGCCCATTTCTAGACCGCCACCATGCCCGTCTCCCCGTCTCCGAGCCTGCCACTTTCTTCAAACTTTATAAACTCTAGGCGGGCAGCTGGAGTTCGGACCCAAGTGAAGCGCAACCAAGCGTCCAATTGAGATTGCCGACGCCCCCGCAATGCTGCCACCCACCCGGGATTGCCGCACACAAATGCACAGAGTTGCCCATATCTTCTTTTATTTAATTTACTAAGGCACAAGGTAAACAAGAGGCATCTGGCAGCAGGCATCAGGCAGCAGGCATCAGGCTTGGGCCAGGCGCAAATAACAAACAAATAATAAAAAGCAACAGCAGTCGACAACCAGTAAATGAAGTTCGAGTTCCAGTTCATAAAAATGAAAATATTTAACCCTTTTTTTTGTTGTACGTATTTTGTATATACGTACATATTGTATTTTGCTGGCGCTCTGCTTCTGTACTCTACATACTTCCTCTTTTCGGTTATTGTTTTGTGTACGCTGCTGCCAGAGAGAGGCTCTGAAAGGCAAGGAAGAGGGCAACCATATTGAAAATGTTAAGTATTTTGCTGGTATTTTGGGCGCTGGCGTTGTTGTCGCCTTCAGGGCCTGTTCTCAGTCATGATGTGCCTTCACTAAATGCTTTAAAAATTTAAATTGAAACCATACTCTTTACAAACTATTATTTATTTGCACAAACTCTTGTTCAATGGCGCAACTGCATTTGCAGATTACTCGCGGGATTTTACCAATCGCAGGCAATCACTTCGACTGCTTCAGCAAATTGTTGAGTGTGCGTGTGTGTGTGTGTGTGTAATTAAAACAATAACGCAAAAAGTAACTATTATTATTATTATTTTTTGAGTTACATTTGCCTGCCAGCACAATGTGCAAACGAAAATTTGATTTCGGTTTTTTGTCTGCGGCCTGGCTGAATTTTAATGAGGCACGTTACACACACATACACAGATATATATTATGTACATATGGATAGCATGCATACATATGTACATATGTTCGCTGCAATCTCATCTATGTACCCTGTGGAAATGGGCGTCAGACCCAAGTCGCCGATTTCGCCGAACCAACTGCGCCAATAGCCGTACGCCCCAACAGGTGTGTTTCTTCGATGAGTCTTCCAACCTACTTCTACTCGAAATTTATACAAATAATTTATAATTTTATATTAACATGGGACGTCGTGTTAATACAGTTGCCGTGTTCCAATCTTGCATTTTTATAATTGCTCATTTCTTCTCTGCTCGAAGTAAACAAGTTTGGGTGAGAAGCGAGTGCCTCGCTTGGATGTCGACCCGGGTCGAGGAAATTGCTGGTTGTACTTGCCAGTACTGCAGGGTGCATATGCATCTACATACAAGTATGTACATAGACATGTAGATAGAAGAGCATGCATGTATAGTATATAGTCGTATGTGCACACATGTCTCGCGGCTGTACATTGGCGATAATTATGCAAAAATATTCGCTTCAAAGTGTTGCGCTCAGCGTGTTCGGTTAGTTGTGGGTGGTGCTAGGGCGGGTGAATCATCTCTCATCACATTTCGGCTCATTTGGTTTTGCATTCGTAAATACATACCCATACGTATGTATGTATGGACGTATGTTCATATATATGCCCACATTTCATTTCATTCTCAATTGAAGAAATAACATTTTTTTCTTTTTCGCCAATTATTTTGCACAATTCATTCGTTTCAAATTCACACATTCTGTGTTGTCCGTCCACCGATGATTAAATTACTTTTTTCATTTTATTGTTGTAGTTTTTGTGACTTTTTGTTTCGAAAGGGTGTTCATCCTATAAAAAGTATGAATGCTAAAGTCATCTATAAACGGTCCCCTCCATCACAAAAATTCAGTTTACATTTTAATAAGGGTGTCGGCCTTCCAAGCTATAGAGCTAAACCCAAAGTATCAGATCAGATTTCAATTTATGTTAGTAATAATATGTTAATGAAGTGGCTTATTGCATAGTTATTGCATTCGCGCAACTTTTACAAAACTTTGCAGTAGATTATTTCCTAATTTATTCACTTGTTAATTACCAAGTGAGTCTGTAATATAAAAGACTCATAATCTGTAACGCGTGCTACAACTACAACGAAAATTGATGCTAATTTTATAAATTAGAATCGCAATTTAAAAATACATAGCTACATATAATTAATTTAAGCCGTGTTTCATTCCACAATACCAAGTTTGGTTAAACAATTATTATAAAGAGTTATTATAGTGAGTTGTATTTGCAAATATCAGTTCTATGGAAACTATAACTAATAATGAGGCTATATAACTTTT